TTCAGGGTCCCATGTGGTTCCATTCCAGTTAATAAATGGTGAATTTTTCTACACCATGGGGAAGTTTTCATCTAATTTCATAAATTATTCATTAACTCAATAGTCTGATATTCACTTTTGAACATATATCAAATTCTTGATAGAACTTGCCGTTAGCTGATCAATTGGAAATGCTCTTAAAACAACTGGTAGACCCATTGGTGCACATCCTTGCCACTGTTTTGACAGTATAGGATTTGCCCCCTCAAAAGGAGTCACCATAGCACTCCCACCACTGAAGCACCCATAGATCTCTATGATGTCGACCATTCCCCCGCCTTCTCCCATCCTCATCCCTCTCTACCCCCTCTGAAAGCCACAATGTTCAGCTTTCAAGAGTTATTTTTAAAGTTTGTCTGTCTGACATTTTGTTTGTTTTTCCTATATTCCACCTATAAGTGAACATCCAGTATTTATCTTTTACTTTCCATTTCACTGAGCACAATCCCTTCCAGCTCCATTCATATTGCTGTAAATGACATGCATTTATCTTTTTTGATTGCTGAGTGGTATTCCATTGTGTATCTATACCACATCTTCTTGATTCACTCATCAGTTTTGGGTTATACTGTATATTTTTTGTTAACAACAAGTTAATCTTTAAAGTATGCTATACAAAAACAAATTCCTTAAAAGCCATAATCTTTGGACAATTGCTTAAGAGAACAATGACCTATTCCTCATAAGCTGGTTTTAATAAAGCAGAATGAAGTAAAGAACAAAAACCTAGTGCATTTACCTTGTTCATAGCAGTTATTAATGAGTCAAAAAGTAGAAACAACCTAAATATTAATCAATTAGTGAATGAATAATCAAAAGATGGTGATATCTACACAATGGAATATTATCCAGTCATAAATAGGAATGAAACACTAATACATGCCACAGCTTGGACAAACTTTGAAAACATTACGTTAAGTGAAAGAAGCCAGACCAAAAAGGCACATACTGTATGATTTTATTGAAATGAAATGTACATAATAAGCTAATCTATAGAGTAAATTAGTGTTTTTCAGAGGCTAGGGGAGAAAAAAAATGGGTTGTAACTGCTAATAGGCATGAAGTTTCTTTTCCAATGATAAAAATGTTCTGGAATTAGACAGTAGTAATTATCGTACAACTTTGTGAATATACTAAAAACAATTGTTTGTACACTTTTAAAGAGTAAATTTTAGGAAAAAATTTTAAAAGAGTGAATTTAATGTCATATGAATAGTGTCTCAATTAAAAAAAAAAATGACTTAAAGGCTTACATGCACAGGGCCAGCAAACTGGATTAGGTTTTCTACCATACAGAACTGAATCTACCTTTGAGCTTCATGGAAGTCAATCAATAAGGAAACCTTCCTGGATTCAATAGTTCCCATTTGGCAAGTGAAATCTGAAGTTAGAAACTTTTTCCTGGGAATTCACATTAGGGAAAACTTAAAATGCAAATCTTACATTGTGAACTATTAGATAATATAATAGGTGCTGTCTTTGTGGTTTTACCTAAGACACAGAAACATTCCTTGAAAGGATATTTCTTCATTCATCAACACTAAAAGATTAGGGAATATAATAAATTTCAACTTCATAAGGAAATTTTTGCCAAAATTGTACAATGTGTTTCCAGATGATCTAAATTTATGTAGAGAGAAAGCTTGTGGAGTCAAGAGACAGAGAAAGTCATATTCCCTTAAACCAGCTTCCTCAAATACCAGATGTCTCAACTGAGCATTTGGCAAGTACTAGAGGGCAGTCTAAATCCTGATTTGTATTGTTGATTAAATAAATGTCCATATGTGTTTTTGATATTGGACATGCAGGTAGCAGTCAATACACTGTCATAAAAATTTAGGGGCTAGATTTATACCCTCATCTAATCAAATACTCATCAGACTTCCAACCAAAGGTGAACACTAGAGATACATCCAGATGGGGGTAAAAGATTTTCCAGATTCAACAAAGATCTCTGAATCTTCTTATTTGGACATATATTAGTCCAAATATATTAGCCAAGAGCCGAACATATATTAGTCAAGAGTCAAACATTTGTGCTAGATATGGAAGGTGTTATTTAGGCCTGAAATTTCTAAGTGCAGATGTTTTTGGTCAATTGCCTCTATCATGAAAACATTTCATTAGAATCCATGTAAAACATATAATTTGATATAGACCTACATTTTTGACAAACCTCTAAAATGAACATTCTCAAGTGGATGAAGTGACATGTGAACACTACACAATAGTGTTTTTATCTATCAATGTTTGTTGAGTGAATAAGTGAATGTCTAATAAATTTTTGTTACAGTGTCAAGATAATAGAGTTGATTTTTCTTTCGCAATTTTATTAGGAATGCTATGTGCAGTACTATAAATAAACCATTCTCAGATGACTACACATCTGAAAATGTATTCTAACCTTAAGCTTTGGTTTTTTACTCATGTCTTCCCCACTACTATCTCTTTGATGATGCTATTCACCATAGTTTCCTCCACAAAATGCCTACTGTGGCACAAGGCCCATAAGCAGATACTCAGAAATAATGGAAGTGATATTGTCTAGAATCAGATGAGGTTGCTTTTTCAATTTCAAGTTTTTGATGCAGAGTATATTGAAGGTATAAAGGCAGGTCAGTAAAGTGGATACTCCACTCCAGAAACCAATGGAAGGTAGCTCTTCCTTCTGTCCTCTCTCTGGCAAATGGAGTGTATACCAACCACCTAGTCATGTCTAAACAGACCCTTCTCTTAGAAACTTTATATCTGGAGGAAATGACTTGAAGCTTTCAAGGCTAGTTGAAATTTATTTGAGGCATAAGTGGTAAAATTGTGAATGTCCAGATTGGCAGCTGGTCTCCAGGGACAGTGATAGCAGGGCAGTCTTCTAAACAGCCCATTTCTACAATAGCAATTTGGCCTCCTCTTGCCAATTGTCTTCATTTCTCCTCAGTCTGGCTCTCCAGAATTTTATCAATTTATGAGCCACACACATAAAGAACAAACTGAAGATTATCAAAAAGTACAAAATACTAAGGCTACCTTTCCTACTTATTTTCTTGGAAGACTTATCACTACTTACCCATTTAGTCAGTCAACTAATGGTGATGTTTTTCCAACCATATTGTTCTCTCAGATTTTCCTAGCCATCTATAAAAAAGTTATCATTTGAAAAATCTAAATATTCATTTAGATTTTAATTATGTAAACTATCTAAATTATTGAAATGACATTTTCCTACTGTGTTAAGGAAATAGATTTCTTAAAAATCCAATATGCAAACAATATCCAAAGATGGCAACCACCAAAATGTCTGTCAATTGATTAATAGGTTTTTCTGTTGAGGTAACATTAGTCTACAATACTCTATAGGTATCAGTAAGTTTTCTCACTTCAGCAATGGTATATCTTTTACTCTGCCTACCTCCAAATGAATGGATAAAAGATTTTTAAAATCTGGTATATTCATGGGATGGAATGTTACTTAGTCATAAAGGGGAATGAAGTACTGATACATGATGCATGAAAACATTTGCTATATGAAAGAAGCCATATTATGATGAAGGGTCTACAACATTGTGAGTATATTGAATGCCACTGAATTACATACTTTAAAATAGTTAAAATGGTGAATTTTATGAGTATTTAATTATGTCATAATAATTTTTAATCCAATATACAAAAAATTAGAAGCACTATAAAGTAGAATATTTAAAACAAGATCCCTTCTATTTCAGTGGAGTAGGATGGCTTGTCAAAGAATCTTTCTGGTTATAAAATCTTTGTAGTTCCACTTTGCCCTCAGAACCCTCAATGGAATTATGTCATTATGTAATCAAGTTCTCAAATTAAGAAATAACCATGTGTCTTGGTGAAAGGAAAATAACTCACATTCAAAAGGTTTTTCATTTATCTCTGATCATAATCATATCCCATTTCCTTAAACACAATAAGGAAGTTGTGAAAATGAAGCATAATTTAATGGATCTTAGTAAATATAATTTTTCCACTCTGGCAAAGTTTAAAGTTATTTTACTATATATTATTAGTTACTCAATCTTCAAAAGATGTGGGTTTTTACATGGGGAAAATGAACTTAGCATGCTGGGATTCACAAAATTCTTCAAATTGGGATAACAAAAATGAGCTGGTAAGTGCTAGAGCACAGTTGAATGGCTCGTTACTGCAAGATTGTTCCAAGTTTACTCAGGGGAATTCTGGGAAATGCCATTTAGTCAATTTTTCATTCTCTAATAATTCCTTATCTCTTACTTCTGTCATTTCTACAGGCCCTCAAATCTCACATACATAAGCATTATATAAAAGGAAAAAATAAACATGTGCACATATAAATACATAGATGCACTCACATATCTATATTCTAATACCCTTAATTATTACTTTCTATCCCCAATATAAATGAAAAGGAAAATCCCACAAAATGGCAAGTATCCAACTTTCAGAGTATCTAGCTCAGTGCATTCATATAAAAACCAGTGTCTTTCATTCTACTAAGAACAAAAATGGTGAACTATTTCCTGATTTACATTTCCTGCATGACTTAGTATAAATTGAAATACCAGCAACTCCAAGTTGCTTCTAAAAAAAAATTTTGTTGCTTAAAAAGGAATTTTCAATAACCTCTTGGGGGGGAAATAACAAGATTTTCCCATCCAGATTTCTCAGAGGAAACCATCTTAATGCCTTTATAAATAATGAAAGCAGTTCATTTCAAAAGTACTTAAAATATAATGACTACATTTACTTTTAGTGGCTTCATCAAAGTAGGTTTTCAACCCACACTCTTCAGAGCAGGTGCCTGTAATTAAACATGGTCCTCTCACCTGATTCATTTCCCGTGCCTCTGAAGGCTCTATGTGAGAGCACTTACTCACTCTGCATCCATGAGGAAGACATTATTGCTAAGTTCCATGAAGCTCTCTGAGAAATTTATCAGTGCTACATACTACTGACCTTACCCTAAACCCATTTGCTTGCAGGCCAGCTGACTCAATGTATCCTGCCAGCCATCTGCACACACAGGGTGTTCCCTGGCAAATCTGTGAGCGGTCAGGAGTGAAGAGTTCACATTTTTAGAGAGGGTCACTGAGGAAAAAAAAAAGGGAAAACTCTAATTTAAAAATTTAAAACATTTCTCTCCATGAAACCAAATGATAACTTTACAGGACTTTGCTTCCCTTGCATGCATTTGTTTTCATTTATTTTAGCTTACTGTCTGGTGGGTACCTACTCTGGGTGAATCACTGCTCTCAGCGTGGTGAAGGACCAAAAAACATGACTTAGAAATGTTCTCTTCCCTTAAGGAACCATACACTCTAGTGAAACAGACAGGCTGTTGATTACAAGTTACAAGATACCCAAAGACAGGGTGCAGACCCATAAGTTAAACCCAAATTTTTGCAATATTATGAAGAGCTAGCTGTAATCACATGCAGATCTTTTCAAGAAAGCATAGGAGAGTACAAGTGTTGATGGTGACATTAATTCAGGGTGAAGTTGGAACATGCACTCATTCATATTTTCTAAAAGATAATTCTTTGTATTTAATAAGCCACAGATCATTTGTGAAACATTATGTACTTAATTGCAACACCACATGTGAAAATCATGGCTTGGCCAGGTGAGACAAAGGACAGAAACAAATGCAGAGAAAATGGGAGGAGTGATGAGTGTAGGATGAAAGAATGAAGAATTGCACTCAAGATTCCAAACTGCCACATGGAACTACTGGTAGAAGATGCCTCTAAGTCTGCTAAGTGAATCACTGGCAGGACTTAGTCCTGTCCTGTCCTTGTAAGAGAGGAGATAGTTACAAGTCCCATTTGGATCTGGAGCACGAGTACAGGGAAGATAGAAGGATCACATTAATATCCTATTCTAGGAGGTGTCAGTGATACAAGAAAGGCAGAATATTGATAACTGTTGAAGCTGGGTGATAGTGAAAGGTTTAGCAATTCTATTTTAGCAGGTATATGGTCATAACACTACAAACTCACGTTTTTACATATAATATAGAAATTTCAAATTCAGTAGTAACTTGGAGATGTCCTATGAGTTGAAAATAGCATATCTGAATCACCACTGTTAGCTTTTACAATAGTGAAGCAAAACAGATGAACTTGGTTAGTAAAATCCATGAAATCACTTAAGACGCATCTAGCCCACAGGTGTTAGAGTATGCAAGAGACAGCAAAAACAAGCGCTTAGTGGGCCTCCCTGGTGGCGCAGTGGGTTGAGCACCACACTGTGAAGCTGTGCACAGCCTCTGCCGTGCAGGTTCGATCCCAGCCTGCCGGCCAAAATCCCACATGGTACGGCAGACCTCTACTGTCTCGCCTGTTGCTCCCCCTCAGCAGTGTATTGCTGTCATCTACCTGTTCTGCTCCCTGCTCTATTTCTGGTGAATCCTCTCACTCTTCGCAACTCTGGCCTGTACACCAGCTCATGTATAAAAATAAATAAATCTTTTAAAAAAAAAAAAAAACAAGTGCTTACCACAGTCCCATTCATCTGAACTATCCAAGCAGTCAGCATTGCCGTCACACCACTGATCACGTGACACACACTCGTGGTTTGTGCATTCTACTTCATCATCTTGGCAAAATGCTGGTATGGGGAACAAGAAGGCAGATGATAGAAACATTTTAGAAATAAATATGATTACCACTCATGTGCACTTATCATTTGCCAGTAGGAGCATGGAAGGAAAAATTTGTAGTCACAAAGGCCTCCAAATCAGGCATCTAGAAAGAATAATTAAATTGATAAAATGTCACTTCACAGATGTCAATCCCTATAAATCAAAAGCATTTAAGCAAAACTATTATCTGCAAGTGACTAGATTTTCAAGTCAAGTTCTAAAAAAAGGAATGAAAAGTGGGGTGCCCAGAGCAGCAAAAATTCCAAAGATTATAGAAGAAACTTAAAATCATAAGTGTGGCATGAGCAGACTTAAAATCATAAGTGTGGCATGGGAGTGAGCAGACTGCAGTCACCTTAGCATGAAAACAAGCTCTGCCTACATGGACAGAAAAGGTTGTGGGTTTTTTTTCTTAATACCTACTATTAAATGACTCTGAGACATGTACTAAACCTCCTTTAGGGTTGAAAAAAATCATAGTGAAACCCCTTGACAGCTATCCTAGCAACTGTTTCCTTTTCCCTCCTCTTTCAAGGAACCTTATTTTGCTCACTATGGCCCCATTCATGTTCAGATCCAGAGGAAGAGCCTCTTTAGTTTAAGAGGGATATGACTTTTTTTTGACTACAAAGATTTATTTTCCAAGTGTTATTAGTCCAGGAGTAAATATGCAATCCAAGAGTAAAATACATGGTTTTGTAGGCTGTGCTTTGCAATATAGTTTCTGTCCAAACCCTGCAAAAGGACATATGTGCCAGCCCAGGACAGGGGGAAATGGAATCATTTTCCAATTGGTTCTTCCCAAGGGGTCCTTTTTACAATTCAGCTGTTTAGGTGGTGTTTTTCTAATCTACCCAAAGGCTCCTGACAACAGGTTGGACCTCTGCTGGTCAATCTGAGTCAATCCATAATTGATATTCCAGAGAGGAGGGCAAGCTTCTTGCTCCTTCTAACAGGATATGATGCGGGAAAGAGGTGGTGGCCACCTCTGCCACTGTGGGAACCAGCCTAAAGTCAAACCCAACTGAAGGGATCACATGGGAGATGCTGAACTCAAGATTCCCTTCTACCCTTCTGGCCTGCAGTCCGAGCCCAGAGGGGGAGCGGGAACCCACCGTTGGGGCAGACCAGGCACGCAGGGAGTGCGTACCGCATCGCCATTTTAGAACAGGGACATTTCTTCAGTAAAGACTGCTTGAAACTGGCAGAAGGCTCCTGGAGGAGCCAGAGGTGAGCTGGGAAGTTCGCCCATGCCAGGCCCCTTCAGGCCTGCAGTCCAAGCCCAGACGGGGAGCGGGAACCCACCACTGGGGCAGACCGGGCATGCAGAGGAGTGCAAACCCACAGTGCCTTTTTAGAACAGGGTCCTTTCTTCAGTAAAGCCTGCTTGAAACCTGCAGATGGCTCCTGGAAGAGGCAGAGGTGAGCTGGGAAATTCGCCCAAGATGCCAGCCAGAACCAGCAACACAGTGTACCAATGCATATGGCAAATTAGAAAACAGACAGTAGGGAGTAGAAAAACCACATGCAACCCAGCAACTCCTCAGAAAAAAAGCACACCACAAAAAGAAAACCACCCCCCAGATTGCAACGACAGTAACTTGGAAGACCTTCTGCGCCTTCCAGAAAGAGAATTTAAAATTGCCATGATTAAAAAACTGACAGAAGTCATAAAGGAAAACAATGATAAGGGAAAAATAATCAACGATCAGAAGAATGAAATTGAGTCCCTAAAGAGGGAAGTAAAAGAAATGAAGGAGATCAAAGAATTAATAGAGGCACTAAAGAACTCTGGGAAAAGCAATGAAAGCAGAATAGATGAAATGGAAGAACGAATAAGTAATCTTGAAGACACAGAAATAAAAAGAACCAAAACAGAAAAGGAAAGAGAAGTATGAAGGAAAAAGACCGAAGAAAGACTTCGGGAACTATCTGACTACATGAGGAAAGGAAATATAAGAGTTATAGGAATCCCAGAAGGAGAGGAGAGAGATGTAGGAACAGAGAAAATATTCAAGGAGATAATTAAAGAGAACTTCCCAAATGCGAAGAAGGAGCTGAAAATTGATATACAAGAAGCAAGAAGAACACCAAACTTCCACAATGAAAGGAAAAATACAGCAAGACACATAATTTTTTCCAGGACAAGGAAAAAAAATTAATGAATCTGACAAGAGGGAAGACACAGATAACATTCAAAGGAAAACCAATCAGGCTGACATCAGACTTCTCCAAAGAAACACTACAGGCAAGGAGAGAGTGGAGGGACATAGTCAACAACTCTAAGAAAACAATGCCAACCAAGAATACTCTATCCTGCAAAGCTCTCCTTCCTCTATGAAGAAAGAATAAGGACCTTGCCAGACAAAAGAAGCTCTGGAATTTCATTACGACTAAACCCCCACTCTAAAAAATAGTACAAGGGGTCCTAAAGCCAGAACCTCAGAGGGACGAATAACAAAGAAAGAAGGCCAAAAAAAAAAGTTATTAAAAGAATAAATAAATAAAATCAAAGGAAAGACAAACACAATGGCAAATACAGATGCTAACATTTCAATATTAACTTTAAATGTAAATGGACTAAACTCTTCAATAAAAAGACACAGAGTCGTAGGCTGGATTAAGAAACAAAACCCAACCTTTTGCTGTCTCCAGGAAACATATTTAGTTATAAAAGGTAAAAATAGACTCAAAGTTAAAGGATGGAAAACAATCCTACAAGCAAATGGACCAAAAAAGAAAGCAGGAACAGCTATACTTACATCAGATAAAACAGATTTCAAACTCAAAAAGATGAAAAGAGACCCCAATGGTCACTACATTATGATCAAGGGGACAATACTTCAAGAAGAAATAACACTCATTATCATATATTCACCAAATGAAGGAGCACCAAAATATATCAGACAACTATTGTCATCTCTGAAAACAGACATCAGAGAAAACACATACGTAGTGGGAGACTTCAACACACCACTATCAACAATGGATACATCAACAAGACAAAAAATAAGTAAAGACACTAAAGCTCTAAATAAGGATCTAGAGCGCTTGGGCTTAACAGACATCTATAGAACACTAAACCCAAAAAAATCTGAGTACACATTTTTCTCAAGCGCACACAGATCATTCTCCAGGATCGATCACATACTGGGACACAAGACAAACATCAACAGATACACCAAGATTGAAATTATACCAACCAACTTTTCTGACCATGAAGGCATCAAACTAGAAATAAACCGTAAAAAGAAAGCAAGGAACTCTCCTACCTCATGGAGATTGAAAACCACACTTCTGGAAGACCACTGGACTAATGAGGAGATCAAAGAAGAAATTAAAAAATTCTTTGAATTGAATGACAAGGATGATACCAATTTCCTATGTATGGGATGCAGCAAAAGCAGTAATAAGAGGAAAATATATAGCAATAGAGGCTCACATCAAGAAACAAGAAAGAACTCAAAGAAACAACCTAATCTCGAAGCTCAAAGATCTAGAAAAAGGACAACAAAAAATCCCCAAAACCAGTAGAAGAAAAATAATAAAAACCAAAGCAGAAATAAATGAAATCGAAACTGAAAAAACAATCCAAAAGATCAATGAAACCAAGAGCTGTTTCTTAGAAAAAATAAATAAAATAGACAAACCCCTAGCCAGGCTCACAAAGAAAAAAAGGGAGAAAGCACAAATAAACAGGATCACAAATGAAAGAGGAGAAATCACAATGGACACAGTAGAAATCAGAAGAATAATCAGGGCCTCCCTGGTGGCGCAGCAGTTGAGCACTGGGTTGCGAAGCTGCCCACGGCCTCTGCAGTGCTGGTTCGATCCCCAGTTGCTCCCCTGCCACTGGAGGAGGGTCCCACATGGCGCGCAGACCTCTCCTGCTGCCCGCTGCTGCCCTCAGCAGTGTACTTTGGTCCTTCTGCCTGCTCTGCTCCCTGCTCTGGCTCTGGTGAATTCTCTCACCCTCCTGCGCTTCTGACTGTACCCAGTGCATGTATAAACAAAACAAACAAATAAATAAAACATGCCTCTATTAAAAAAAAAAAGAATAATCAGTAACTACTATGAACAGTTATATGGAAACAAGTTCAACAATCTAGAGGAGATGGACAAATTCCTACAACTCTACAATCACCCAAAGCTAGATAAAGAAGAAATAGAACATCTAAACAGACCAATTACAAGCAGCGAAATTGAAATGGTAATCAAAAACCTCCCCAAAACAAAAGCCCAGGACCTGATGGATTTACAAATGAATTCTACCAAACATTCAGAGACGAATTAGTGCCTATCCTTCACAAACTCTTCCAAAAAATTGAAAAGGAAGGGATAATACCAAACACATTCTATAAATCCAGCATTACACTAATACCAAAACCGAACAAGGACAACACAAAAAAAGAAAACTACAGGCCAATCTCCCTAATGAACACTGATGATGCAAAAATCCTCAATAAAATTCTAGCTATCAGAATCCAACAATGTATCTATAAGATAATTTACCACGACCAAGTAGGATTCATTCCAGGGACACAAGGATGGTTCAACATCCGAAAATCAATGAACGTTATCCAACACATCAACAAAAAGAAATATAAAAACCATATCAATAGATGCTGAGAAAGCTTTCGACAAAGTGCAACACCCATTCATGATAAAAGCCCTTGAAATTCTTGGGATACAAGGAACATACCTCAACATCATAAAGGCCATCTATGACAAGCCAACAGCCAGTATCATTCTCAATGGTAAAAAGCTGAAAGCAATTCCTTTAAGATCTGGAACAAGACAAGGATGTCCACTCTCACCACTGCTTTTCAATATAATACTGGAAGTCCTAGCCAGAGCAATAAGACAAGAGAAAGACATCCAAGGAATCCAAATAGGAAAAGAAGAAGTCAAACTATCACTATTTGCAGATGATATGATAATATACATAGAGAATCCCAAAAACTCCACAGAAAAACTAATTCAACTCATCAATCAATTCAGTAAAGTGGCAGGATACAAAATCAACACGCAAAAGTCAGTAGCCTTCCTATACACAAACAATAAATCTGAAGAAGAAGAAATCAAAAAAACCATCCCTTTTATTATCGAAACAAAAAAAATCAAATATTTGGGAATAAATCTAACAAAAGTGGTAAAGGACCTATACAAAGAAAACTATAAAACACTGTTAAAAGAAATAGAAGAAGACACAAAGAAATGGAAAGACATCTCCTGCTCATGGATTGGAAGAATAAACATTATTAAAATGGCCATCCTACCAAAAGCAATATACAGATTCAATGCTATTCCAATCAAAATTTCAATGTCATTCTTCAAAGAAATAGAACAATTATTGATGAAATTCATATGGAATCACCAAAAACCCCGAATAGCCAAAGCTCTACTGAAAAAAAAAAGAAGGAAATGGAGGCATTACACTCTCAGACTTCAAACTATACTACAAAGCCATAATCATCAAAACTGCATGGTATTGGAACAAGAACAGACATACAGACCAATGGAATCGAATAGAAAATCCAGAAATAAACCCACATATTTATGGTCAACTAATCTTTGACAAAGGAGCAAAGACTATGCAATGGAGCAAAGAAAGTTTGTTCAATAAATGGTGCTGGGAAAACTGGGTCGCTACATGCAAAAGAATGAAGCTTGACCACTACCTCACACCATACACAAAAATCAACTCAAAATGGATTAAAGAACTAGACATAAGACCTGAAACCATAAAATACATAGAAGGAAATATAGGGGAAATACTACATGATATGCACATCAAAGACATCTTTACAGACACATCACCCAAAGCAGTGATAGTGAAGGCAAAGATAAACAGCTGGGACTACATCAAATTAAAGAGCTTCTGCACAGCAAAAGAGACAATAAGTAAAACAAAGAGAAACCCCATCGACTGGGAGAACATTTTTGCACACAACACTAATGATAAAGGACTGATCACAAAAATCTACAAAGAGCTGATGAGATTCAACAAAGAAAATAATCCAGTCAAAATGGGCAGAAGAGCTAAAAAGAAACTTCTCTGAAGAGGAAATGCAAATGGCCAACAGGCATATGAAAAAATGTTCAACATCACTTGTAATCAGGGAAATGCAAATCAAAACTACCATGAGATGCTCAGCGAAATAAGCCAAAAAGAAAAAGAAAAATACCGGATGGTCTCACTCATAGCAGGAATCTAGAAAACTTAAATAAGGGACCAGGAAAATGAATAACTATAAGAAAGTGAAAATCAAAATCAACAAAAAACTATCAACCAGAGACACTTTTTGGGGGGTGGGGGGCGGGAGGGGAGGGATTGGGGTTAGAATGGGGCGTTTGCAATTGTATGGGGGAATATAAAAATAAAATTTATTATTTAAAAAAAAAATAAAAAAATAAAAGCCTTGAGGAGAAAAAAAAAAAAAACTACCATGAGATACCATCTTACACCAGTGAGAATGGCACATATTAAAAAAAACTAGCAACAACAAATGTTGGCGGGATTGTGGAGAAAAAGGAACTCTCCTGCGCTGTTGGTGGGAGTGCAAACTGGTCCAACCATTATGGAGAGCTGTGTGGAGATTTCTGGATCTACTAAACACAGAGCTTCCGTATGATCCAGCAATTCCACTCCTAGGTATTTACCCAAAGGACACAGAAACATCCATTCCAAAGAACACCTGCACCCCTATGTTTATAGCTGCACTGTTTACAATAGCTAAGCTTTGGAAACAACCCAAATGCCCAAAAATAGATGACTGGATCAAGAAGATGTGGTACATATACACCATGGAATATTACTCAGCATTGAAAAAAGATAAACACATGCAATTTGCAGCAACATGGATGGTGCTGGAAGGGATCATGCTCAGCGAAATAAGCCAGAAAGAAAAAGAAAAATACTGGATGGTCTCACTCATAGCAGAAATCCAGAAAACTTAAATAAGGGACCAGGAAAAAGAATAACTATAAGAAAAAATCAAAATCAACAAACAACTATGAACCAGAGACACTCTATGGAGGGTGTCTCTATGGAGGGGAGGGATTGGGGTCAAAATAAGGGGGTCGCAATTGTATGGGGAATATAAAAAGAAGAAAAAAAGAAAAAGAAAAAGAATCCCTTCTATACTTGACTTTTTCCATGATAAGTTATATGTGCTACAGACAATAATAAGATAATGTCCTCATTGTTTATGTGAGTTTGAATTGGATTCCACATTACCAGTAGGTAAAATAGAGATGAGAGGTGGAAGTGAGGGAGAGTGAGGAAGAGAAAGGTAATTTTTCTGATTCTAAAATTATTGGTCATTCATTTAGAAAAAGTGGAAAAGACATAAAAGCACAAAAACATAATAATCCCACCACTCAGGGATGACAATTGCAAATTTTTTATTATGAATTTCTAATCTTTCAAAACTCAGGACAATGGCACACAAAATACTTTAGATTTGTTTAATCACTAATGATATGGAATGAACCCAAGAGAAATTGTTCTTCTAATTTGATTTTCAATGTCTGCATATTAGTTCATTTTATGGTGTGTTTTATAGCCCCTAGTTTTGTATAGCTGGGATGTTTAAATTTTTCCCAATGTCCTCATGTGATAAATCTTGTGGATATATTTTACACAAGTTTGATTACCTTCTTGGCATACATTTTTGTAAGTGGTGTTTTCGTCAAAAGGTCTAAGCATATAAATAACTTTTGATATATATTTCTTGTGCTGAAAATAAGAGATAATTAAATGTTTAAAATAAAAATGGCCTCTTGACCAATTCATTCAGCACTCACAGCAGTTTTTTTCATCCAAGTCATCTGGGCAGTCTGGAAATCCATCACAAATGACTGTGTGCTTCAAACATTGTTTATTGGATGGACATTCCCAAAGATCTCTCTCTTTGCATCCTGGAGACAGAAGAAAAGGTCATTTATAATAGATGTGGACATGAAAATAATGATAAATTAGATCAAGCAATGTAGGAAAATTATAACATAAAGGAATGATTTATTTTTCCTTTCAGAGTTTTGACTCATGCATCCCATAAAATGTAATATTGAAAGTAGAAATACTCAGTAATCTCCATATTGCAGTATAAATAGGACAGCTCTCCTAAGACAAGATAAAAAGTGACATATGAGTAATGGCGGGTGGCGGGTGGGTGGGAATGAAAAAGCAAGTATACACTGACGTTTATGTTTAGCTGTTCCTTTTGCTTTCTGAGCCAATTCCCAACACATAGGAGTCATCTATAAAATGATGAGTTACACTTTAAGTAAATATGTCAAAACCTGGAGATGTAAATGCTTATCATCTTAAAATGTCATTTCAGTCAACAAATGGCAAAGTCATCTGTGTATTTACCAAAGGAGGCCCCTCCTATGCCAAAAAACTTACAAAATTAGCCTAAGAGCCAGGTACAAAAGATAATTCTTTTATAATGTAGTCAGAGAGCTTAGGATATAAAGTTTATTAATATGAAAAATGTACATAGTTTGCACAATAGCACAAACTGTAATTTGCCTACAAAACAGCAAGTACATGCAATGAACTTAATCTTAATCAATGCCATTTGAATCAAGCACAGTACATTTCAAAGCTCTGCTAAAACATGCCCAGAGTTAATGAGTTCTGATCTCTCCAGTTGGATCTACAGTCCTCATCAGCCAATGAGTATGAAGGAAGAGAGCATATGTATTCATTTTTGAACAGCAACTAGCACTAGGCATATGTGTATTTAAATGAAACTTAATTTCACGTGAGGAACAAAAAGCTTCTAAATTCTAGGAAAAGATAATTTAGTTTAAGGTGAGTGGAATGCAAAGCAGTTTCTTTTAAAATGCTACTTGTCCTCTGACCTAGTACAAATAGTCCAGAGAGATTTTGTAGATTAATTCAGATTCTTAGAAACCACTATCAGAAAAATACCTGGCTTTTTCAAAATTCTCATTGAAAACATTATCAAAATAAAACACTAGGGGCCTCCCCTGGTGGCGCAGTGGTTGAGCACTGGGTTGCGAAGCTGCCCACAGCCTCTGCAGTGCCGGTTCTATCCCTGGCCACTGGTGAGGGTCCCACATGGCGTGCAGACCTCTCCTGCCACCCGCTGCGCCCCTCCGCAGTGTACTTCATCAGTCTGCCTGTTCTGTTCCCCGCTCTGGCTCTGGTGAATTCTCTCACCCTCTGGTGCTTCTGACTGTACCTAGTGCTTGCATAAATAAATAAATAAATCCCTTAAAAAAAAAAAAAAAAAGGTTGTAAATTAAAAAAATAAAACACTAGGAGAAAAGTTTTTATTACACCTAAATTGGACTTAAGATATTTCACGATTTGAAATGTAGGTAATGAAGAATGAGAACCCTTCACTCGCTACATGTCTACAGTGGTCTTGGACCCAAGCATATGCATTCTAGGACTCATGCAGATATTATGTGGAGTTTTCAGCTAATAGAGGACATAACCATCATGTAGACTTTTCTGACAATAATAGTTCCTGGAATCTCTGGAGATATGAGAAGGAACTAGAGGTCTGTCCTCCACTGTCCAGCCTCTGCCAAATGGCACCATCTGCTCATTTTACCAGAAAGCAAAGGAAATCAAGAAATTGATCTCTACCTCCCCCTGAGTCACTTCTCACGTCACCAACCGCAGCACTTGCTCATAGATGATGAGACACAACAGAAGAGTCTTCCTGACTTTGCACAAGTTTCCCCTCCCAAGAGTATGGAGAACTTGGGCATGTGAAGTGATCAGATGAAAGGCCAAAAAAGCAGGTGTTCTGGGACACAGGCCTGCATCCTCCCTAACAGCAATCATGATAATAAGTGGTACCATCATCCACTATATATTGACATTCAAGATATTAGTTTCAATTCTTATAGTGCCACGATGCCAGTATTAAGATCCCCATTTTATAAGTGGGAAAACAGATTTAGAGAAAAAAAATTATTCCAAAGCACAGCCTGAAGGAGACAGATCTAGTTGGGATCCAGGTGCAAGTCCTCTCTTGCAGGCCTCTGGGAAGTGAAACTATGCAGCATGTGTGAGGCACAGCTTCAAGTCAGACACCTGGGTTGAATCCTAGCTTCAATCTCGTTAGCTGTGTGACCTTGGCTAAGTTACATAACTTCTCTGAACCTCAATTTCCATATCTACAAAGCAGTAACTAATGCCGCTACCTAGAATTGCTATAAAGATTAAATGGGAAGCCAGGAAGTATGACTGCAGAAAAGAGGCTACTAGAAGTGGGAAGGAGAGTGAGGTGGAACAAAGCAGGGAGTTATTGGTCTTTGTTAAAGGACTGTGGGTGCTTTGGTGGGTGGGTATGGTGCGGTGACATGCATCTGAGATGTGAACCTATTCCACTGAATCATTTAGTATTGTAAACCAATTGTTGTTACCCCAGTTAAAAAAATAAAGATTAAATGAGTCCTCTACAAGCATTAATTTACTCTTCCGTATCATCTGTTTCCTAACAGAAGTTTGCATGGTCTAATACCTCCTTTGCGGAGTTACAGTGAGCATAAAAGAAGTAGGATGAAAAGGTTAAGACATTAGTCTCATGAAGATAGAATTATCATTTTGTAAAGAAATCACGCTTTCTTTAAAGTGACATTTTTGAGGTCATTCTGTTTTAAATGCATGCACTAGAAGGAAGAGGGCATGACTCCATTAAACATTAAAAGCAGGTGTAGATGGAATGGGATATTTTATGCAGCTTTAGGTTATGAAACCAAATAATCATGGTGTCAGAATAACCACCCAGCACAGAGATAATGACAAGGTCCATGCATTGAGACCACAGCGTTGCTAATGTGACCAATTTGTCCCAGTTTCCCTGGAATTTTCCAGATATGACCACTAAAAGTGCCTGGTTGAAAGAAAGAAAGCCTCTAGGGCTGGGTTGGCTTGGAGAAAGGTAACGACCTCTTTCTTGATTTCCCTTGCTTTCTGGTAAAAAAAAATAGAAGGTGCCATTTGGCATCCCCCTAAGTGTGGGAAGCATTCTCTAGGTTCTTCAATTACTATAGTTCTCATTTTCCAAAACTTCTGTAAAGCAGGCTTTACTGTTTGTAGTGTCAGCAAGGCACTGAAAGGGTTTTCTATGAGCCGGGCAGATGGGAAAAGGAGGAGTCCTGGAGTCCTTGGTGGCTTTTCCATGCTTTTAATGATCTTTCTACAGCATTTGTAGTGAGGCAACCAGGTGCAGGGCAGGCAGGGAGGCCTGGGGGCCGGGAGACTGGCAGGCCTCCCAGGCCCCTGCCAGTCTTTACTCTTTCTGGGCTCTCTGGTGCTCTCTCGTGGTCTCTTTGCTGGTCTCTACTGCTCTCTGCCGCACAGTCCTCTGCTGCCACACTCTGTTCTCCGTTCTGTTCTTTTCTGCTCTGCTGCCACCACCCTTATTTATATATGCTAGGTCTCTGGGCTCAGGTGTGCCCACTCACGAATGCCCACACCCTATTCCAGGTGCTGCCATCAGGCACACGTGTAAGACCACAGATTTCAATCATTGATGCTAAAGGCGGGAGGGCAGAAAAACCTGATCACTTCCATTTACCTTACACTGTTAAGAGGTTTCTTCCAAACGGGAAAACCTTAGTTCTTATATATTATCATTATAGGTAAAGATAGCAAAACACCTTAAGCAGATCCTTCTTGTACTTACTGTAAGAATCTCCTGGTTAAGCAAAAAGAGAGTAAGATCATTACAAATAATACATATCTTCAGGGAGGAATTGGTCACAACAGGAAAGTGGTGAAGAGATTCTGGGCCCTTGGAGCTAGCACAGGTTGGGATGGTGTGGACCAGTGTCTGTTCCAAAAAGTGGCCATGGATGTGACCTTAAGGTGGGTCACAGGAGCTGCAGCAGTGAAGTTATGGTCCAGCAGGTGTGAATGTCCCTCCAGAGTATGCAACCCAGGTGACAGAGCCCCAGTCTCAAAGAATAGTCATGGGGCGCTGTGCCCTAGCACAAGTCTGGAATCTCCCTCTTTATCTAGAAAGTCTCAACAGTCTCCTGATGCTGAGTCTCCCCTTCTGAGGGGCACCCTCCTCATGTTATATTCTTCAACATATTCTGGTTTAATACCCTACAAAGGGGCAGGATGCAGAAATGGGAAAGGCTCTAACCTGCAGGCAGGTACCCCTCAATGGTTGTGATCCTGGAAGAGGGGACATTGACCATGTTTGCACATGACATGACAGCCTGTTCCCTTCAGTTATAAATAAGACATTACTCTGTCCCAGATAAGACCAAGGCAGACAAGACTCCTCCCCTCATGGGAGATCCTTGGGGTCTCCTTTGAGGGGAATTGCTCCCTGGATTTCCTAGCACTAGGTTCTTGATTACTGCCTTCTGTGGACTGAATAAGGCATGCTCTGAGTATTCCAAGAAATGATGGGTAATGTATTCTCTCCATTTTACAGGTAAGGGAACAGAACTAAAGAAGTTAAGTGAATGGCCAATAGTCACACAGCATCTAGGTGTTTATCAGGATTTAAATCCAAATCCAGGTCTACACAGAGACTGACCAAGACACCATGTAAGGTAGTGAAACAGTTAACTAAGCAGCAAAATGTCTAAAGGAAAGGGGAACATCTCTCCCTTAATATGGAAAAATTATACTCTATTGAGTAATCAGAAACTGGTCCTAAAGACTCATCCCAAAATCTCTGAGCTTGTGACATGACAAGGACACAAGGACTCTGTGTCCTCTGCTGGTCACAGAGCAAGGACTCAGTCTCTTCCACAAGAAAAGGCAGGGGACCTCCCTGGTGGCGCAGCAGTTGAGCGCTGGGTTGCGAAGCTCCCCGTAGCCTCTGCAGCGCTGGTTCCATCCCCGGCTGCTCCCCAGCCACCGGAAGAGGGTCCCACATGGTGCGCAGACCTCTCCTGCCGCCCGCTGCTCCCCTCAGCAGTGTACTTCGGTCCTTCTGCCTGCTCTGCTTCCCGCTCTGGCTCTGGTGAATTCTCTCACCATCCCGCACTTCTGACTGTTCCCAGTGCTTGTATAAATAAATAAATAAATAAATAAATAAATCTTTAAAAAAAAAAGAAGAAGAGGCAGGAAGGTTGCTATTTGGAGTGCTAATAAAGTCATTTAAGTCCTTCTGTATGAGAATTTATACAAATACTATTAAAGATTCCAAACAGAAAAATATCCTTTAGAAAACTTTTGAAATCAAGCTGGAAGACCCACCAATATCAAAGTCCAAGGCTTTGAACATAGACTGAAAATGTTTGGACCTTGAGGAAAGGTTCAGGTTATATTTAAATTTTTAATTTTAGTTGAGCTCAAGAGAAGATCAGAGTTAGATGATGAAATAATTTTTAATCATTTCATGATAAATAGGAAGACATTAAAATACAAATGTATTTGTATTGGTGTTCATCTTTCTCCATATGGTGCATATGGAGAATAGTGCTCAATCAGTAATTGTGATGCTGTATTCATATCATAGAGGTTTTCACTTTTATGGTAGCTATCAAAAAAATGTTTTAACTATATTCTAATTTACCTTCCTGCTCACATCACAGCCCAGAAATCCCCTTGCTCCTCTGGCTGCTCACACAATTTGTGCACACACATCTAGCAAAAGCTAACCCTTGTCTCAAACCTACACTAGGAAGGTAACATTCAGAAATATAAATCTATTGCCACTTTCCTTAGTTTTCCTTTTTTTATTGTTCTTGCTCCTTTCTCTGCATAGATCTCTTATCCTCCATTGCTTAGTGATCTATGCTTGGAAAAAGGTTAGACTGAATAAAAACTCATTTCATGAAGTTATTAGTTTGACAGCTAACTCCATCTCTACAGTGTATGTTCAATGAATGGCAAAGCATCAGCCTTTCAGACATTGCAGTGATTCTTGCTGATCCTGTAAATCGTGCCCATCACTTAGGCTTCCCTTCCCATGAAACAACACTGGAATATGTTTAGATTTGCATAATTCTTCAAAATACTTGCTAAAACCATTTCTAATACTGACAGTGTTTTCAACTGTTGTCTACATTAGTAATAAACAATGAGAACAACTTCAATAATAAAAATTTGCCACCAGAGCAACACTGCAGAAAAACAATGCTCATCATTAAATTTTAAGGCATAGATTTTTAAAATGTTTTTGCAAATGGTGGGCCTTGGCTCCCCTGCTTTCCTGCTGCAGATGAACCAAAGAAACCCAAAGTAAATTTCTAACACATTAATTATTTTATAGCTAAATTAAATAAGTATTGTTTTGAGCAGAAAGCCAAATAATGTTGTTAGAAGTTCTGGAGGAGCAACAGATGGATCAGTGAATAGTTAATTGGCACGTTATTCAGTAAAGCCCAAGCATTTTAAGTGGCTTCAACTCTACAATAGACAGAATAAATCAGAAAGACAAGTGGTATTTTATGGAACCCAGCTTTGCTGGAGCTGGGTTGCAATGCTAAATGATATGCCCATAGATGCCCATGGAAACAAAGACAAATTGAGGAAGTCAGCAAAATGGGAACTGGATGATTTCCTAATAACCCTCCATTGAGACTTCCTCAATGTGACTTTCTTATTTGATTTTAAATACATGTCCTCCAAAGCATTGGGCATTCCCATTCAAATGTGTGTATATCTCCCAAAGGGGAGTGTATGTAAAATTTCTACTATCAGTCATTTTGGAAAACTTAATGAGAATTTTCTCATAACTTAATACCATTGGGCCAAATCACATAACTCCAAAAGTGTTAATTTCTTACTTTTAACGCTCCTTAGCTCTCAGTGGTGCTATCAATATTTTCAGAGTTTGATAGGGATTAGATAATTTATTCTACTCTTCTGGTATGGCATTAATTGTGTGATGAAACTCATTATTTAACTAGAAATCTCACATTTTAGGGTCAAATAAACCCCACAGTGCTTTGAATTTCCTTTTTTTCTTGCAGAACATATTCAGGTATTTTAATCTTGGTAACGCTCTTATATTTTGACTAAGCCTTTATATTTTGGAAATATTTAGTCCTCTATTACAAATTTAGGTCTAACCACCCTAACAGAATATCACATAACCTCTTTGAATAATCTGAGATAATCTATTTTAAATTGCATCTCAAATTACCATAACCCATCAAAGTCATGGTTTAGTGAAAAAAAATCTGATAAGTTCTCAATAAATCACTTATATAAGGGCTATTCAATGAGTTTTGATTTATTTCTTCATGTAAAGACCACAAACAAGCAAATAACACTAGCTTTTCAAAACACTGTATGTTCCTCCATAACAAAATTACCCCTGGTCATTCTGACAGCTCTAATTTTCTAGAAGATACATTTGTCCATATTTATAGCAGTTGATGGGATTATAGACGATTGCATGTGACATTTTGTCTAGACCAGAAGGGCAGTGTCTACTATGGAAAATTCATTTTGGGGAGCAAAGCAATATTTCATACCTGAAAGGTCAAATGAATAAAATGATTTCAAAAGATATATTGCCTTACGTGTTTTCAATGACAAAAAGTGTCAATTTTTTTAAAGCAGAAGAAATTAAATAATCATAACCAAACTATTCTTTGGATAGCCTTTCAATTATTTTGTTTTACTCCAAAAAATTATTTAGTAAAGAGCATTGCTCATTCTCTTTTCCCTGACACATTCTGAGGTTATAAGTACAAAGGGAAATAAAATGGGAATTAGCTTCACTTAAATTACCATTGGCATATCTGGCCTTTCCATTGGTGATTTTGGAGCTCGAAGGCAGAAACATCAAGAAGAGTTTTATCCTTTGCCAACAGAGACAAAATCAGAGAGGGCATGAAAATGAATCCCAATTAAATTTGAACGTTGGAGACTGAACACCCTCTTTGTATATCTAGATGCCTATTTAACATGGAAATCATGTGCAAAGATACTAGTATTTTGACTGTGAAATAGATGCCAACTTTTTTATAGCCTCCAATAATAAAAGTATTTCCTTATATTTGGGAAGTGCTTCTTTAACTAAGGGTTTGCAGATATATAACCAAGGTTATAAAGGAAGGGGTAGTTTAGGGAAAATCAATAGAATTAACAGGAAAAAAATATAACAAATCAGGTCAGATACTTTGATAATTTAAGAAAAAAAAATCAATTCACATTCAATCTTAGTCACTACTTATTACATACATTCAATAAAAGCACCATTTCACATACATACCACAGTTGTCTTCATCACTGTCATCATCACAGTCAGCCTGACCATCACATCTTCTGGAAGCCAGAACACACCGGCCTGAGCCACACTTGAAGTGACTAGGTGAGCATTCTGTTAAAAACAATGAGCCATTCCCCTAAATAGTGCAGGGTATTGGAAACCAACGCTACCTCAACAAAGAAAAAGAAAAAACAATGGGCCATATTATTGTCAATAAATAGAAAACCCAGAACCATCAATTTTTTACATGTGGGATGTTATTGAGCTGTTACTAAAGATAAGGATGGTTCTCTGCAAACCTGAAACAACCAAAGTTAACAGAAATCTTCTGCCTGCTGCTGGGCATTCTCCTCGGTGCCCTCCCCATATCTTAGTATCTTTCTTTTCCAAATGGACAATTGCCAGAGCCTGAAATGTCCTGTGGCTTTGAACTAACCAGCTATCTTAACTTGTCAGAATTGTTTCCCATCCAAATCTTTCCAATTGGTGGGCAAGTGCATGATTCTATTTCTCGACCCGATGATCCTATGTTAGAAGATCTCCAAATGCTTTGTACTTGAAGGAATTAAGGTTTTATGTTCAGTTCACCATAAACCTTCAGGACAATATAGTGGATTCTGTGAGTTAAGTGTGGTTAAAATAAACTCCTGGAATTTAAAATTTACCTCTGCAATTTATTTCTAAAAGGAAGGCAATGTCTAACAAATGAGCACCAAATTGTTCAATTTAATCAACTACACAGACTGACTCACCTAGAAAGCCCGATTGGTCACTAAATAGAAAAAACAACAGAGAAACTTGTAAAGGTAGTTGATAAAGTGAGCCATGTTAGACACCCCACTGTAATTAATTTAAAAATTAACCTTCCACATCTTCATCAGGCATTAGGCAGGTATGATTGTCTGAGTTTTCTTCTGGAAATTGGTTACAATCTGTGTCTTCAGGCCACTGTAGGCCCACGAGCCCAAGAACAGACTCACAATGCTCTCTGGAGTGTTCACACAGCACTCTACAGGAGCAAGGAAGACAATACATTAGATGCATAATAGCTATATGTAAGACATACATCAGGAATATAGGTAAGGTTTTAATTCTGTATTGATGGAAGTCTGTGTGTTACCAGCATAGATAGATACACATGTACATAAGTGTTGGGAAACCAAACTGAGGATCTCTACAGAGGAAATACATTTCAGCAACACACACTCACCAAGGGAACTTCAATGCATTGTTTTGTTTTTTTGTCCCATAATACTGTGTAAATTTAAGTGTAAAACATATAGACTTGATACATGTATAGATCACAAGGTGATTATAATTGATACACATAGCATTTCTAGCATATCATGCATTATCATTTCTTTTTTGCTCTTGGAATAATTAAGACCCAGACTCTTGGCAAGTTGGATGATGATCATTTGACAGTGTTGCCCATATTCACTCTATTGTGCATTTATACTTCTAGGAGTTATTTGTCCACTAATTACAAGTTTGTACCCTTAAATAATATCTGGGAGTCAGATTCCCCTCTGCAATTTGCCTTTGTCATTCTTCCATCTTTCTAACAAACACATTCTCCAATGTTTTTGTGCCAAGCAGGGAAGTCCCCAACATCACTTTGGGGACTACTATCAAGGGTCAAAAAATCTTTTTATTTATATTTTACATCATTGTTCATTGTTAAACAATGTTTGCTTTCTTTTCTCAGGTGTAGTCCCCATAGAATTTCCACCACCAATTCACTCCGTACCATCACCACAGTCCCCTGTGGTCTTTCTCCCTGTTTCTGATCCCTCTCCCTCATCCTCCCCTGCAGGATGTCTCTGGCTTATAGTTGTCTGGCTTTTTGTTTTGTTTCATTGTTTTGTGTGTTTTTCTGTTATTTTTTTTCCCTGATGCCTTAATCGGTTCCCCTATATTCCTCCTATAAGTGAAGCCATCTGATATTTTTCTTTTTTCCTTCTAAGTGTCAACATTCTCAACCTCAGAGGGCTCTCCCTCTGGTGAGAAGTCATGTGAGCCATTTAGAAAGTTTACCTAAGGGACTGCCAACCTGGCTTATCTAAGGAATTATCTCCATCACTTTTGTTAGCTTCTACCAATATTGTTTGGGTCTTCTTCCAAACCCATCCCTACTGTGCTTAAGTTGGTTAGAAAGTTTTTCTTTAAAGATAAGGCAAACTGGGCCTCCCTGGTGGTGCAAGGGGTTGGGATGCAACCTATAAAACTACCCGCAGCCACTGCAGCATGAGTTCGACCCCTGGCCAGTGAGCTGCCCACATGACACAGCAGACCTCTCCTGACTCACCCGCTGTTCCCCTCAGCAGTGTATTTCAGTGGCTCTGCCTATTCTGTTCCCTGCTCTGTCTCTGGTGACTCCTCTTACTCCCCACACCTCTGGCCTGTACCCCAGTTCTTGTATGCATAAATAAATCTTTTTTAAAAAATAAAGATAAGGTAAACTAACCATTGTGCTTTCATCTATGCTACCTCATTTGTCCCCAGAATATTTTTAAACTGAGGTATCAGTATGTATCACAGATTTCCTTACTGCCTATGAAAAAAACTTCACAGTTTTGCCCCAATATATTACCAAGAAATAGCTACTTCATTAAAAAAAATAAATAAACCTAGCCAAAGTAAAATCATAGGCAAATTTCTTATTTCCTTCTAAATTCTTTATTTCTTAAAAGTTTCAACTTTTAAACTATAAGTTAATTTCAACAAAGTTCTCTCTCTCTGTTTTTGACTCTCTAGACAGAATTGGACAGGCATTTCAGAAAGATTTTTTCCAGTCCAGCCAGAAACTTATAGGGAAAGTTTAGCAATCAAATGGGGAAAAGTTAAACTCTGTTTAAAGTCCAGACAAGGAAGTGAATGATCTGATGCTGGTTTAGTCTAGGAATTTGGGATGAAGACAAAGCCATGGCATTTCCATTCTAGGTTTGCAAAAATGGGAAATTCAGTATTCTTCAATAGCTTTCTGTTAAACTAAATAATTTTGTTGATGATTTGTTAAAAAAAAAAGTATATAGATCAATTGCTGTTGCTATTTAACATTAACCAGATGATACTCCATTTGTATGGAAGACTGTATAATGCCTAAGCCTACCACTTATTTTTTCTCTAGCATGGAAATAATACAATATATGAGAGTACAACTGCATGATTACTGTTTTCATCATGATTTGCATGGTGCTCAATCATAGACAGTAACCCCGATGGCTGTGCCCTTCCTCAAAAGGTCGTCTGGAAGATGATAGAGTAGAACTGCTCTAAAGTATTTATTTTAGCACAATGTAAGCTCTGGCAATGTTAGATTTTTCAGACCTAGAACTTAAAAACTAAATTTTAATATCAATAGACTTGGCAAAAGCAACGATATATTGTTTCATATAATAAACTATTCTTACCATATTTTTTTCTTTATAAACATATATCAAAATGTCAATTTCATTTTGATAGCCACTGGAAAGGGAAGATATATGTAAACTTAAGAAATAGAACTGAATCTTTTGTTCTGTGTGTTTTGAATATGCTCATTCTGCCTCCTTCATTTGCTTTCTAGATTTATTTTCACCATAAGAATCCCAAAATGTATGGAATAATGTCCATTCTCACTTATGATTGCTCAGTAAATCCTGTTAAACTAAAAAAAAAATAAAAAATAGAACTGAAGTGTCTAAAAGAAGCTCACCAAAATGTTGACTAAAAGTCATTTCAGAATCAATCTCATCCTAGGCATTTTAAAACATGAAACTCAAGCCCTGAAATTATAAATTATATGTGGCTACAAATTTGTTCCAGAGACTGCTACATTAGGGAAACTTGAAAGAAAATAAATATGTAACATGAAAAGAAAGTCAAAAACAAATTTTGTTAAGTACTATCAAAAGTACTCACTATCATTCACTCTGCTTAGTGAAAGTAGAACAAGATTTAAGAATATATTCTTAACATAAAATTGGTGGCTTCCTTTAGCAATACTTTAAAAGGCATTTAACACAAATTTTCAGAATTAATTTGCCCAAACCAACATTAAGCTTTACTCTGTATAATTCGTTTAGTTCCCAAAGTGATTTTAAAATTTTATTACTTCCCGTCCCAACTCTGTAGATTCCCCTACCTTGTCATCCATTTGAAATTTGGTGTGTAATTTATTGTTTTCCCATCTGTCCACTATATTGATATTATTGCTTTTTTTCTAAGTGAATTTTGATCCCAGCATATGGTTACCACTCACATGCAGACAAGTCCAGCCATATATGCACACCTTGATGGAAAACAGTCCTGAAGATAACAGGATCCACCCCCTCACTCCCCACCCCTCGGCAGTCAGTCATTTTCTGACTACAGCACCATACATGTGACATGGAAGAGGGGCAAACTGCCACTATTGTTGATTCAGGCCTCATAGTCAAATTGAAGCATTTTACATTTTTCCACATTTATTTAATTGCATAATAAACCAAACCCACCATCATTCCAATTCCTGATTTTACTTTTTCTGAGAGAGACTGAATAATCTGTCTCAGGCTACCCAGTGGCTACAGAAATCAGTTGGTAGATTCCAGAGTAGTTCTCTTAACCCACAGAGTATCAGTGTTATCATTAGTTCAAGCTGCACTCTTGAAATATTAGCCTGTGTTTCATATAAATGGGTTGAGAAACATCAGCGGGGCTCATCCCCAATATAACTTGTGAAGTTGGTATTAGGTCTCCTTCCAGCTGCTCCTTTGTGATGTCTTTAACTTTTGAGTGCTATCAGAAGGGAGCACTTTAATGCATCAGTGTTGCCAGAGAAAGAAAAATAAGAAAAATATACACCCCTTCTTTTGGTAATTCACATTCTTTACACTGCTTAAGCCACCTAAATGAAATGTGTGATGTTCTTTGATTAAAATACATATACTATGATCAAATTTCATTTATACCTCCCTTGTTTGGTATTGGTTCAGTAGTGAAGACTAGCTGAAATATTCATTTCATAACTCCTATGTCTTTACTGTTTAAATGTGTAATTTGCTCAATACAGAGACCCCTAGCAACATGAGTTTTGTCTAAACTCAAATGAGGTCTTATTCCCCTGGTTCTCCCTGAGTGAAAATGAGGATGTTTGAGGGAGACTCATCTTACCTGCAAGGTGGGGTGCGCTGGCTTGTATTCACATCACACTTTGGTACCAATATGGTACAGGCAAAAAACATGAGGTATTTGTAACAGTTGGTTTGAACAAGTGCAGGGAAAAGAGAAGACTCCCAACTGATGGATGCTTCCTTTTGACTCCTGTGGCCAAGGTAATTTGGATAGTTTGTATGGTTGTAGGGTAAATTCATACAGAGTTCCAACGTAATCGGTTCACATTGACCTAACGAGAAAACACACATAGATGCATATACCCAAATTTCACATGCAAAACAACTTCTTGAAAACTTATGGAATTGAAGTCTATTGTAATCTCTTTCTTGAAAGTGCAAAGACCAGAATGCGGTAGTATTTTGTTATCAAGAGATTAGTAATTTGATTAAGGAAGTGCTGAATCAAGATTCGCTTTTGTATATGTAGTTGCTAAGACAGTATCCAGCACACATTTTAGATAGTCTTTTTCATTTTTTCCTTAACTCAGCTTATCTGAAAGCAGCTCTCTTTTATGATTCCTTTTATATTTACTCTAAGTTGTCTTGTTCTTCTGGTTCATTCATTACTTCTAAACTGGTATAGTCTCAATTATCTTCACAGTCATTTAAAAAGTTATCAATGAATTTGGCTAAGTAGGGAACTAGGTGACTTTTTTCTATATGTTTTATTGTTGATCAATGCATTAAAATAAAATGCTAGAAGATTTCAAAGCAGGAAGAGGCCATGATTCATGATCAATGAGACAAAATCTAACCCTTCAGTTTAATGATCAAAGCTGTTTCACACTCCAACCATAGCCAAGCGTACTAGCTCCATCACCTAGGGCCATCGTATCAGAAATATTTCTTTGATAACACCAGATATTTTAAGAATTGCATGTTTTTGTGGGCTGTTAGTACTCTTACCCTCTTTTCTTGACATACTTGTAATCACCCCATCAAATGCAGTCATAGCAACTGTTGCCTGAGAATAATCCTTTCCCATCTTCCCCACCAAGCTAACTCCTCCTTAACCTGCAGGATTCAGCTCACCTATTCCAGAAGGGATTCCCAGCCAACCAATTCCCCCTCTCATTTCCAGGATGGGTCTCTTTTGAGCGCTATAGCATATTAAGTTTGTTGCCACCATATACTCATTGCCCTCTGCTGTATTCTTTACTTATTTCCTTCCCTCCACACATGCAGTTCTGAGATTTCTCAGAAATGAAACTATTTCTTGTTCTCACAATCTGCACCTAGAACAAAATCAGAATGAAGGAAGAAAGAGGGGTGGTAGAGAAGTGTCAAGAATGATCTTAAAATGCAAAACTAGTGAAAATTATCATCCGCCATTGAGTAATTCCACAATCCCCACAAGGAGAAAGACATATGTGCTGGTAGTAGTAGTATAATGAACAGGCTAGGATAGGCTGTTGAACAACTGCTAAGAGCCCAGTGAGACCAGGTGAAGCAAAATTGACTTAGGAAACTTTAAGATCAATGGAGTTTGGGAGAAAGGCTCCACTTTATCCTGGTACATATGTTCCATTCCCAGAGATGAGAGGTAATCAAAAAGTGTCTTTGTAGAATGAGCGCTGACCAAAAACTCCATGCTTTATTAAGCATAATTATCTAAATTAAATTTAATTATTTCAATAAGAAGTGGAATGCGTGCAAATAGATTAGCAATAAATTCTGGGTGAAATATTAAAACAGCCAGGGCTACTTCTCAGTGTAAAGAACCTGAGGCTTTGCAAATTGTGTTGCTGAGGAGCCTGAAACTGACCAGATGAAAAGTCTTATAGACAAAGTATGCTATTGTCTCATTTTACTGGGGAGTAACACTGCATAGTTGGTAAAATCTTGAGGAGAGTACAAGGAAGAAAGAAGAGAAAGGATAAGAAGTTGGCTCTGTTAATTATTTCCTTTGATTTGTGAAAAAGGAGAAACCTTTAAATATTTTGATTTCAGATTACCAAAAAAATGCATGTTCCTCAAAACAATACAAAGATGCATAAAAATAAAGTTCAGGATCTCCTCACTCCCTTTTCTCTCACCATCTGTGAAAGCCAACAGAAAGGTTTGAAGCCTTTTACATGCTCATATCCTCACATACAAGCACTTACACACATACAATCACGGTGCCACAGTAGAAGTGTATTATTCTGATTACTCTTCAACTTGCTTTTTGTTGCATACTTATTCAAACCATCTGACATATCAGTGGATGTAGTTCTGAATGCAATTTTTCCTAATTTCTTTAATGTATGTATAGCTTTACAAAAGTGGGCTCATTCAGAGTTTTAATTCGGTCCTTCTCTCTCCTACCACTTTATCAAATTTTAATTTCTTATTGGTGTATTTCATTTAAATGATTAATAGACATCACATAGAACATTTTTCTTTCCTTTGATGTGTGGAGAACACATCACTTTTGATTTGGAGTAAGACATAACTTTTAAGTGTTTCAAGTCTTGGGAGATGAAAGGATTAAGTTATGGTCATATATTATACTGGAGATCTTTATTGAATGTAGCAAGGCCGATTGAATCTTGTGTTTCATTTCTTCATAAGGCATTCTTCACAGAATGCTAACTAACTCTCAAGATATCTGTCAACCCAAATTCTATGATTTATGGAATCAATAAGCTTTTTTATCTTAAGCATTTGACTCACTCACTATCCTGTTTTAAAAAACCGCTAGAGGGCGATCACTTCACAAACATGTGAGGATATTTAAATGACATTGGACTACTACCCAAGCAAGTTTGATAAAGTGCCTAGTACAGTGTCCACAATATAAATGAGGCTTAATATCTATTGGGGAAAAAAAATGATCCTAATGGAATCTCATGGATATCCCACCTTTCAAAGTCTGACAAATTTTGTTAAATGTAACCTAAACACTGGATTGTTCACTAAATGGTGTTGCATTCTTATCCTGAAGCAATACTCTGAAGTCACTGAAACTTTGTATCAGTTGACCATTTATATGAGAAAATGTCATTTTTCAACATTTATTGACATATGTAATATTCTAAGAATCATCTTGGCCTCAGTTCTCACTCTTTTTTTTATCATTATTTTAAATAGTTTGATGAGTTTTTACCCTTATAACTACCAACCAGATCAAGAAAATGACCTTTGCCATATATTCCATGTACCCTGCCTTCTATCAGTTTTCTCCCCCCATCCCAAGAAACTACTGAGTTTTATTATTGTCACTTTCTTGCTTTTCTTTGTAGTTGTATTACCTGAGTGTGTCTCACGTCCCAGATAGTAGAGCTTAGGCTTGTCCATTATTTAAAACTTGTTTTGTCTTTTATGGCTCTTAAATATCCAGTTTCCTTCTCCATCCCTTTATTTTTCCTTATGATTTAACTACTGAAGAACCCAGGGATTTGACCTGTTGGATGTGCCAAAATTTGAAGTTTGCTGATTGCACACTCCCTGTGAGATTAAACATGTTCCCCGTCCTCCCTGCTTCCTGAACACTGGCAACTGAATCCAGAGGACTGATTAGGTTTCATCCCTTTGGCAAGATTAGAGGTGCTGCAGTATTCTTTCACCAGAAGGCACATCCTGTCTGATTTTTTTTTTTTCTGTCAGCAGCTGTAGATGCTCAATGCTTCAAGCCATTAATTCATTATGTTACCTAGTGGTAATGTTCTAGTTCAACCACTGATTTTCACTTACTAGTTGGAATAGTTTTATAAAGAGATCTTTCCTCTCGTTTACTATCTACTCCCAAAGACTGCAGTCCTTATTAACCAATAGGGTGTTTAGCCTCTTTGCTACATTCCCCACCCCCCTTTGCTATTTGTTCCTTTGAACTAGATTTTGCAAAGAAAGGACAGGATATTGATAAGAGTAGTGGGAAAATATCCAAAATCAAAGATAGTGATTTCTTCCTTGGTGTTGGAGAAAAAACTGCATGTATAAATATGTAGCACACAAGGCTGGTGGGTCACTATGGGAAACTTGGAAAGGTCCTTGGGTCATGACAGTTATAGCTGCTTCATGGGCACAGACTGGTGGGGACAGACACATGCCCAAGTGCTGCTCTTTCCCTCGGGTTCTCCCAACTGTCCACACTGCACACTATGATAGAAATGAGGGGAAAGAACATTCCTGCTCCTACCCACTCAGACAAGGAGGTTCTGTATTTGCATTCCAGCATGGCACAACAATGTTAAAGATTCTGGGCTATGAGTGGATTCAGTGATACAGAGATACTTTGTGCCCAAAAGTACACAAGAATATCAGATGTGGTTTTTAATTTTTTCCTAAACCCTAGGTATTTTGGGGAATTGGAGATTAGCCATAGATCTTCTCCATTAAAAATTTTTGAAAACTATGAAGATTTTTTCATACCCAGTTTCAGGGATGTCACATATACCTGCAGTCTAGTTATAAACAGGCAACTGAAGCCATAATTTATATCCTTGACTCTACATGGGAGTCACCTGAGGATTTTAAGCCTATTTAGCATATCTTAGGGATCACTAGAAAGTTATATGAAATTTTATGGACTTATAAGAACCTATGTCTTCAAGAATTAGACTCCCAGTGACTTCAGAGTAAGGTTCACTCTGCCAGACAGAATATCCACTCTTCACTGCCACAGAACCACAGAAGGGAGTGCCCCATGGGTCTAAGTAGTTTCTGATAATGGCAAAGATCTTCATAAGATCTATAAGTAATTACACTTTCAAGGGCATGAAGGACTCTGAGAGGAAATGCTACTTGTTTATCTTCACAGAGAACCAACACACACATGCAATTATCATTAAGTTCTTTAAAAAATAAATAATAATATCTTTACATTCATCTGGAAAGTAAGTGTATACATTTATACATTTTTTTTTAAACAGAGAGGGAACCAATGACTAGTCCAGTACCTAGCACTTAGAAGAAGTGATGTTCAAATATTTGCTGAATATACATGAAGGGAACCTGGCAAAAACATTGATGGTGAGTGAGGAAGCTGATGAGACAGTGAGACACTAGGAAAATTGAGTGAGTGTGTTTGAAACAGAAGACTGGAGAAGCATGTGACTGAGAAGTAGGTAGTATGTTTTCCCATGCTGAAAAATTATCTCCAGGAAGGTTAAAATTATGTCTCCCTTCTTTGGCATTAAAATGCCCAGTGCCCATCACACTGTACCTTGTATGCACTCTGTGAATATTGGCTGACTGTATGAGCAAGAGTTATTTAGTGTTCTTCCTACATCTTCTAATTTTGGCAGGTAATAACCCATTTTTAAATGTTTAATTTTTAAATAGTTCAAACAGAGAGAAAATAGGATAACACACATCCAGTACTTCCCACCCAACTAGATACATTGACCTTTTGACATTTTTGTGTCTAACAGTAACAGCCATGTCAGAAACCACCCGAAATTTTAATTATAAACATGTCTTAGAGAAAACACTGTCACTGTTCAAAATTACTAATCCCAAGTTTAAGGTAAAATAAAGAAGTAATTCTGAAAAAGTCCCAGGCAGATTGAAAAATCTATAGAGTTAAACAATGAACTTACCCCTAAATATATACACACATATACATATATACATCTACCACACACACCCACATACATTCATACACATGCACACATACATGTATCTTCAATCATTTGAGAGCAAGTGACTAATACCAATCAGACTAATAACTATCTAAACTTATATGGGAAATGGAAATTGAAGAGGGTATCGTTGCTTTTAGCCAAACGGTTATTTAAATACTCATGAATCTAAATGAACAGTCCTACCCAGCTAGGTTTTTAACTGGTTGCCTCCCTCACACTCCTTCCCAGACCAATGTTTTCACCCTTTGAGATTCCATGATAGTTACAGGGGTAACCCCAATAAATTCTACCTTGACCCAAAAGGGTCATGAAGTAAAACTAGGACCCCAAAACTGCAGCAAATCCAAGATTAAACCTTTGAGACTCTCAACCTCCCAGCATCCTTGATTGAGAGTATATGTGTCAATAAGTTATACCCTCTTGCCAACTGAACGACAACTTCTAAGTTTCAAACTTGAAGCTGAAGGTGAGGCCAATAATGAACTATAAAAAGTGAAAGCAGTGAGTAGACTATGAAAGCAGAGTCCAGAGAAGTAAGAAATCATTGCTAGAAATCAGTCTGTGGGGCTTTTCTAATTCATTTTAAATTTCCTGTGAGAATCTATCACATTCTCTGTTGCTTCTGTGCCTTCTATCTTTCCCTACTCTCTCCCTCTCCTGAAAGCAAGTTAAAGAGACACACATGTTTACACCATTTGGAGCTGTTACATTGTCGTGATACAATTAAAATAATGGGTGCAAGAGCATTATAGGTCAACAAAGTTCCTGGAAAGGAGAATATAGATTTTAACAGACTGATAGTTCTATGTGGTTATTTAGAAGAATTTCATAATAATTTGCTTTTTGGATAGTTTCTGCTTTCGAAGTTGTACTTTAAAAAAGAAAAAAAGATAGCATCTGTATGCAGATAGAGCCAAGAATATAATATATAGGAGCTGCTGTTGAGTTGAAAGTAATGGTAATGATATTAAGCAATGTAGATTTATAGTCTATTCACAATGACACATTTGTTTTTGATTTAAGTTAATTAAGACCATTTTGTTTCCTTTCTGCTACCACATGCAACCTTTAAAAAAGAAAAGAAAATGGATGTGCATATTTTGGAGGCATGCCAGACTTCAGCATTTTCATGTCAATGCAAAAAGAAACAAGTTGAATGCATATCCTGTCACAGTGATTGCATTTATCAGCTGCTGTACTTACTACAGTTATTCTGACCATTGTTGGGCTCACAGGGAGCGCTACCACATGAGTCAAGGCAGGAATTGTAGAGGCATCTTTGGTCTCCTTGACATGGTATCTGACCTAAAGTGGGGGGAAAAGCACATTTGCTTTTATCATCTATAAATTCCTTACACCAGGATCTAAAGGATCAAGAATGTCTGGGGGAGACAAGGGGTAATACAACTTTAATTTCCTTCCAGTTTCTCCATAAATACTGAACACATGTTGAATAGGTACTGTCTGGATTGACTTTTTTGGCAATTGAATGAATACGACACAGTTATTCCAAAAGGACTCAACGTAGGAATGAAGAAATAAAAGACAGCCCGTCTTTTAAAAAAAGGGAGTCATAGTTGCTTTTAGTGGAAAAAAAGAGAATGTTTTATATTTGTATAGGTGCACATACTTGACCACAAATAAAAGTCAAGTCATGTGAGGGAAAGGTCAACCTAAAGATGCTGAAATTTTTATTTTATTTTATATATTTTTACATTTTATTTTTCATTTTTATACAATGTATACATTTTCATCTTGGTTATAGTCCCCGTACAATTCCCACCACCCTTGTTAAGATGCTGAAATTTTGAATACATTTTCTCTTAGCTCTAGATTTCTCACTAAAGAAAATGTATTCCCTAATAATAAATAATTTCTCTAATAATAAATAATAATTTTTCCTAATAATAAAAAGGCATCAACACCAATGCAAGAGGATCCTTTGTTACAAATTTTATGCAGCTGTTACCCATATTTTCTGAAGGTCCTTGGAAAATATCACTGGCCTACGGTGATGACCCAAGAATTGGGTTTTTGGTTTCCAAATGAATGACAGCAGTAACATTAGTCTAATGGCTTTTCCTTAAGGTATGTAGAGAGGAAACTGCTTTTCCCATTGATTTCCTGCTCAATTGTAGATTAAATGGATAAAGTCATAAATTACTGCACATTATCTTTCTAGCTTTCCCTATTACAGTCAATTAATTTCAGACACATCATCTGGAATCTAAAATCTTGCAAGACATTTTTAAGTATGAACAATAGTATTATGTATACATATAATCATTCTTATTTATAATTCTAACCATGTTTATTATACTGAACTCCTTCTCCTATGCAGTACTATTAATGTGCAACAATATATACATCATAGCCTTGTAGAAAAGAAATCTCAACCTCTCTCTCTCTCTCTCTCTCTCTCATAAACCAGGTTGGTAGACCAGGTTAATTTCCATGACTTTCATTTCTTAAAGAAATTTAAGACAACAAGCATTTATTATTTCAGTGGTTATTAAGTGTATGTAATGCAATATGTTGTGTGATAAGCTAGGCACTAAGCTTTTAAAGCTAAAGAGCACCATAGCTTCTACTCTAATTCTAGAACCTTAAATACAGCTTCACCTTACTGAAGATACATGTAAGGTGAAGTGGAAGCAAACTAAGGCAGTAAGGGGCAATTTTGCCACAGTGTTTTCAAGCATATGGGGTAAGCTGGGATGAGGTTTCCCAGGCAGACAGAATATGCAATATGCAAAGGCCTGGAATAGGAAAATGCACAGGTTGGAGTCACTGATACTTAAGCCACTGAAAAGGAGGGTGAGGGAGACTAACCTGAGAGCAGAACCTGAGGGTTGTCAAAGCCTAAGTTTTCAATAAGGCCCAAAATCCTGGGAGAAATGGCCTCTACATCTCTCCCATGTCTTGTCTAGGAGAACCAAGTTATGATCACTATTGAGACTGATTCTGTAGCACCACGCTCCCCTTTACACTGAACTCTCAAATCAAGGCTGCTCTCCCAGTACCCTAAAATAGCTTGTTTCCTCCCATCTTAGCACTTTTGGCCAAGTGGTTTCCTATGTCCCAAATGCTTTCTCCAGACCCACTCTCTTTTGTTAACTCCACTCATTCTTCAGATCTTACCTCCAATAACTCTTGTTTACGGAAGTTTCCCTAAAACCCTCACCAGGCGTGCATCCCATACGTGCATCCTAGCGCCCTGAAGCTTCCTTCCTGGCATACATCACCTCGTGGTCAGACACTGATGTGTGTATTTTTCTGTCATGCCTTCCTCCATGGGAGTCTGCAATCACCATGATTGCACTAAATTCCTGGTGATTGACCGTGTGTTAGCACCACCACATACATTACTATGTTGAACTAGCGTATATAATATAACTATGTTAACCTTTTATTTTCAATCTATTTTATGCTATGACTTCTTTACATCTCATAAATGTAAGGAAATAATTTGCAAATCCTTCTGTTGCATAGTGAGAAATCCTTAATTATGCCAGAGAGATGAACTATGTGGATAGACAACAATTTGATTCAAAGGGAAGATATACAAAGTCATGCCTAGAAAAGAATTTCCAAATTGGTAAAACTAAGTTCAATCTCGCTCTCTCCATATATATATGTATATATAATATATATATGTGTGTGTGTGTATGCATTATGCATACACACAATCACATAATAGATTATCTTATATATATATATAATATATACATGATATATATTATGTATGTATGTAATAAACCTGGATTAAAAGTTTCTCCCTTTAAATCTGGAAAGTTTTTTCATTAAAGCTATTCTAATGATTAATATTCATCATGACAAAACCAATTTATTCACAAGTGACCAATCTTACTAGCTGATTTTAGGTAGATATATCCAATAAATGCTTAAAATAACAACTACAGCATAATAACTAATACTGAGAGCTCACCATGTGCCAGTGAAACAGTTACCATTATTTTGAAGTTTTGAATGAAGCATACTGGGGTAAATAAAGTGTCTGAGATGAGCAGACAGTTGGTAGCAGAGCTGGGCTTGAATCCTAGCAGTTGGGCTGCAGTCACATTCTTAAGTAGGTATGTTGATTAATAGTAAGGTCACTTATGAACAAATACAGTGAATTTTAGATCTAGGGATGTTCTTACAAGCCTGTACTGAGAGGTGCTTCAATAGAAATGGGGGCTTAAAACAATCAATATGGAACTTTGTTTTTTGACAGAAATATTCACATTTTTAAAACCAATTTATTTGATTCATGTTTTCTTTTTAGTTTCACAGATGGCTATCAGACTCCCTTTATAGTGTGTTTAAGTATATTGCTTGGTAATGTGAGGCATTAAACTGCCTCTGTGAACATGGTTATTTTAGGAAGCTGTTACATTTAATTTCAAAAGCCAATTCCTTCTAATTGGAATCTAATCTAACTGAATTGAATACTATACATTAAACTTTTCTCTTTATATGCCCTTCCCCATAAAACAGTTAACTGAATCTGCCCAGGCTATTTAAGTGTTTATCTTCTATTCTTCTCCCTTAAGAATAATTTTTCAGTATAAGTTGCTTGAGAACTGTATTTGCCACAAGAAAGGGTTTTCTGAGGACCACTGTGTTAGGCAAACTGATATTGTTATTTGGGAATCCTACTGAGTCACTAAGGAACTTCCATTTTTTTGCTTTGCTCCCAAGGGAAGGTCCATCAATAAGGAATATTTGAGGGACTGTGGCATTAACTTACTGTCACTGCAGTTCTCTTCATCACTTCCGTCCTTACAGTCCTCATCTCCATCACACCAGAAAGTGCTGGGGATACACTGTCCATTTCTGCATTCCACCAGACCCTGGCTGAGGCAGGCTAGGAGATAACAATATTCACTTTATTCATGTGCACCACTGTCAGTGTGTACATCATATAACTGATTCCTGTTTACCTGGTTTATTACTTAGAAATGAAGTGTTCTGAAGCTCTAAATGTTCTGTGTAAATGAACTTATGAATTTTTTGAATTTCCTGTCATTTCGGAATGGTAAACTTTCTTTTCAGAATTTCTCCTGCCATATTAAAAAGTACTTACTCAAAAGTATTTTTTCTTGCTAACAAGGTAGTGGGAAATAACATTAATGAAGGCCACAGTATTATTACTACTAAAAAAGGTACAATTGATTAAAGGCTTACTCTATGGCAATAACAGTGATAGGAATATTATATACATAATTTCAAATACTCATAACAAATTTGCAAAGCAGATATGATCAACCTTATTTAAAATACAGAATCTGAAGCTTAAGATGAGTGTTGTGACTGTCTCAAAGTCATATGACTTTTAAAAATTTGGGCCAGAGATAAAGGCAAATTTTTAACTCCAAAGCCTAACATTTAATTCTCTACCTACCTGACTGATGATCAATGAAATAATATATGTGAAAAAAATTGTATAGTCTCTCTCACACAATAAACACTTTATTTCAAAACTTGCTTATGACATCGGACATTTCAAAGGAGTGACCACTCCTTTGTGACCATCAACCCTCTGATTGCTGAAGGCTGTCTAAAAACCATCAGAAACCCATGTTTGATGTGACCTTGGTCTTCACTGTCTAATATCAAAACTCTGCTTTTGAATCAAGACTCAACACCAGAATCATCACACTTGAGCATCATGCCATTGCTTTCCCAGGATCTGTCAAGATAAGAGTCTACTCTGCTCCACTATGACTAAAACTCAGGCAAGATGACAATTCAGTTCAGGGAAGGGAGATGCAGGGCATTCATCACATCTGTTAATTTATATGACTTATGTCAAAATAAAAATCGTGTAATCTACATTTCTACTTTTGCCTCAAATGATAGGTAAATATTCACTTTTTATACTTTTATTGGATGACAAAAGCAGACATTTAAAAATGTAATTAATTCAAATATGTTAAAATATATCATGTTAACTCTTTCTGGTTACTATTAGTCTCTTCAATCATTTTATTATCCCCTAGCAAGTATAGTGTAGATTCCAGAGAAAAAATGTACGAACAGGCATACTCGATTTGCATTAAATAAGTAGTATAACAGCTACCTTAAGACTCTTCAACAGAACCACAACAGGCTGAAATGGAAATAGAAGCAAAAAGAAAGTCCTCAGGCACTCACAGCAATTGACCTCGTCAGACTTATCCACACAGTCATGATCACCGTCGCACACCCACTCTGTCAGGATGCAGCGCCCATCTCCACAGCGGTGCTCCTTTGTGGGATTGCAATCTGGAGAAAATGAGAACTTACTAGGACGCAGCGCTCAGCAGGATGAACACTCAGAGCAGTGTGGCTCGTAGTTGCAGGCAAGGGGAGTCTGTTCCTACTGTTCCAATACCTTCAATAAGTTATCTACAATGGGGCTAACAACTAAAATTCTTTGTTGACAATTGCCAAGTTGTGCCCAATGACAGATAACTGGGTAAAGAAATTGTGGCTTATGTACTTAGTGGAATAGTCTCAACTATTGAAAAAAGATGAAAGTACATTTTGGGGACAAAATGGATGGATCTTGAGGTGATTATATAAGAGAAATAAGTGAAAGACAGAAACTGGATGGTTTCACTTATTGTGGAATATAAATAACAAGGAATATTGGCAAAGCACAACAAAAATAATTCTTAGACTTTGTGAAAAGCATATTGGTTACTAGCAGGAATGGGGAAGAGGGTAGAGAGTAAAGGGGCTAGGAGTTTTGCTGGAGGGTGACTGAAGTATAAATAGGGAGGTGTGAAAATGTACCCCTGAAATTGTATAGCTATGTAAATGACTGAAGGTTTATCCAATGTAAGGAAAAAAATAAAATTGTGTGTTGAGTTTTACTTCCCACCAAAGCAGATGGTCCTCTGGCCACCATCAGCCTGAGGGACAACCTACCTTTTTTTAGGATAACAACTGTGCTGCTTCCTCAGGATCCATTGTTTACTCTTTTTTAAAAAGTTACTTTTATTTATGCATACAAGAACTGGGGTGCAGGAAAAGGTGTCGGGAGTGAGAGGATTCACCAGAGACAGAGTACAGAATAGGATGATTGACTGAAATACACTGCTGAGGGGAGCAGTAGGTGAGATAGAAGTCTGCTGTGCCATGTGGGTCAGCTCCCTGGCTTGGATCTAACTCATGCCACAGTGGCTGGCTATAGTTTGATAGTGCTGAGACTCTAACCCCTGTACCACCAGAAAGGATTATGCTGCACTGTAAGACAATTCTTTTTCTTTTTCACCCTGAGCCTCTCTACTAAACTATAAATTATCAAGCTACCCTCAGGCATTTACGCTTGTTCTTTGCATCTTTCCTCTCTTTTTTCTAGTTACTCATTGGTAATAGAAGGGATTGGATTTGATGCTCTCTAAGGTGTCTTTCAACTATAACTTCTATGGTATATACAGTTACAATTACCTCCTCATTCTTTGTGTCAGGACTAATCAGTCCTGGAAGAAAACCCATATATATTTTGTGACTCTTGGGATGGTCTGTACATATATACATTTTCTAATATTTCTATGGATGAAGTGAGGTATAGTTTGATGAAGTTTTAGAAACTACCTAGTTTCCCCATAGGGGGCCATTTCTGATCCATGTCACTCTGAAGCATTCTGCCAATGACACTCCTGATCCTTTCCCAACATTCCTTCCCGTATTTTTAAAAACAGAAAATATGATCAGTCTCACATGCTGTGTCCAGTGTCCCTACTCATCCCAGTCTGTCCTTTTGTTCATAGCATAAAGTTCCCACGCCCCCCAAAAATACACTCCCTAAAAATTCTAAAGCTAACTACAAAGTCCAAAAGTAAGTAAGCAAGAAGGGTTTTGCTGTTTTTTTTTTTTTTTTAAGATTTATTTATTTATTTATACAAGCACTGGGTACAGTCAGAGGCACAGGAGGGTGAGAGAATTCACCAGAGCCAGAGCGGGGAGCAGAGCAGGCAGAAGGACCGCAGTACACTGCTGAGGGGAGCAGCGGGCAGCAGGAGAGGTCTGCGCGCCATGTGGGACCCTCCTCCGGTGGCCGGGGAGCAGCCGGGAATCCAACCAGCGCTGCAGAGGCTGCAGGCAGCTTCGCAACCCAGTGCTCAACTGCTGCGCCACCAGGGAGGTCAGTTTTGCTGGTCTTAATGAACAACATGGCTTTCAAAATTGAATACAGCATTTTAAAAGGGAGGTTCATTCTTTAAAAGATCTGCTTCTGTACGGAAAACAACTGTGCCATCCTAATCTTAGGTGGCATTATTGCAAGAAGCAGTTCTTGTAGAGCTTGCCAGTCAAATAAAGAAGAATTCTTTGGTTACATATAATAAAAAGAACAGGCACAGGCAATCTATCTGTCTGCAAAGATTTACACAAGAACACAGAATGAGCCATTAACTTCAACGAGAGAAGAAACAGAGCACTATCAGGAAACAGATATTAATGCACAGTATTAAAACCTTTATCCAACTTTACAATCCATTTCTTGAACATTCTCTTAGTATGATTGTTTATGTAAAAGTATTATATTTATACATGCGACATGACTGAGACTCAATTTAAAAAAAAACCTCTTTGAAAATTAGGAAAGAAACTGTTTTGTAATAGAACCCACTAATCACATTAACAAACAATGTTCTTGGTTTGAACAGTTGAGAAAAAAACCCAAGTTCTTGGTTACAAATTTTTGTAACTTTAATTACAATTAGGGAAATAATGCTACTTACCACAGTTTTGTTCATCACTCAGGTCCCCACAGTCGTCATATCCATCACACACAAGGCTATAATTAAGGCATTTGCCTGTGTGACACTGAAACAGTTTCTCACTGCAATCTGCAAATAAGGGAAGCCACCAATGTGTCAACAGGAGAGAACAGGATGTTGTACTACTTTATTTAACAAAAAGCTTGTCAGGGAGGGAAATCATAACGATGATCTTATCTACACCTATTGTATTATAGGTGAAAAGACTGTAGCACAGAGATTCCATGGCTTGTCCAAGGTCACATAACAATTTCCTGCAGAATCAGGACTAGGATCATCTGGATCCCAAGTTGTTTTCTGAAAATTTTATTCTCAAGTTTTATACTGCCTAGTAGCTCTTCTACCACCAAAGATGAGAAAAGACATTCTCAAGTTGCCACAGTTCTTAATAAAGTTCATGTTCCTGTAGGATGAATAACTTTAATGAGGATAAGCAGTTTTATTTCTGAAAAAATGTTTCCTTTGACATTTAAGTTCAAATTTTTTAATGGTAAGAATATAGAGAATGGAGAGAAAAAGTAACTTTGAATATAGAGTTGTTACTATCACACAATCATTGTTACTTAAGACAATTCAGTGTTTTGTAATATCACCCTCAAATAAGAAACACTCCTAGATTTAGGCAGCAAGTTACAAGTAAGTGGTGCATAACCTCAGGAAGCTTAGAGATTAATATTGAAATAAGCAACAAACAGGAAAATGGTTTCTCAATTTTAATCAGATAGGTTTTGTACTTGGATCAGCCAGAACTCCTCTCCTAGCTTTGTCATCTACTTGATGTGAGATTTGGGTGCATTCCTTAAAAATCTGTAAGTCAGGAGGGAGAGGGATCAAAACGAGGGCGGGAAGGGCACAAGGGACTATGGTGATGGTGCATGGGTGAATTGATAGTGGAAATTCTATGGGGACTACACCAGAGAAAAGAGAACAAAAATTGTAAAAAAATGAACAATGATGTAATATATATATAAGTAAATATTTTTTAAAAATCTGTAAGTATATGAACTGATCTATGAAACTGGAATAGTATCAGTTACTTATTAGGACTTTGGGGAAGAAATTAATAAAATAAAATGTGTAACATACCAAGACAATTAAATGGGAAGAGTACTATTCAACAATGGTGTCAGGATAATTGGGTTTCAAATGTGCAAAATTGAACTCTGACCTTTACCTCCAACCATACACAAAAATATATTTTGAAAGGGATCACAGACTTAAATTTTAAGGACTAAAATTATGAGACTTTCAGTAGAAAATGTAGGGAAAAAATTGTGAACTTGGGGTAGGTAAAGAATTCTTAGATTTAAAGATTATAAAGGTAAAAATATTTGTGCTTCAAAATGCTATTAAGTAAAAAGACAAGCTACATATTGGAAAAATATTTACAAACCTAATACAGGATGTATTCCAGAGTATATGAAGAATGCTTGCACTCAATAAGAAAAACAACCCTAATACAAATAGGTGAAATACGAATAGAAAGTCTTCATGAAAGATGTAAAAATGGCTAATAAGTACATGAAAAGATGTTCAATATAATTAGCCATTAAGTAAATGCAAATTAAAATTACAAAACACATAATCCCTAAAATGACTATAATAAAAAAGACAGATGATACCAAGTATTGGCAAACATTTTGAGAAACTGAAACTCCTATCTCTCTAGTGGGAATGTAAAATAATAATGCCATTTGAAAAGCTTCAGGAGCTCCCAAAGTGCTTCCATTTGGGAGCTTCTTATTAAGTTAACCATAATCTTAACATGATCTTCATGAATTCCACTCCTAGAAATCTACCCAAGAGAAATGACACATATTTACACAAAGACTTATGTACAACTTATTCTTAATAACCAAATTTAAAAACAATCCAGCCACCATTGAATGGAAAAGAAAATGTTGGCTACTCATACAAAAGAATTCAGTGGTTAAAAGTATCAAACAACTGATAGATGTGACAGCATAAATAAACCTCTAAGACATTAAGTAAAAGATACCAAACACAAAGACTACATATGAAACTAATGACATTCTCAGAAAAAAAAAATTATAGAGCTAGAAACCAAAGCAGAGTTTATCTGTGGGTACAATGGTAGGAGTGGGGACTGACTACAAATAGATGGGAGAGAAATTTGGGTGTGATGAAAACATTTTAGAATTGGAATTTAGACATAGTTTCACAACCCTCTAAATTTCTTAAAAAATCAATGTGTTAGATTTATGTGTTATATAATTACACCCCAATAAAGCTGTTAAAATGTTTAAAACTAATATGTAAAAATTCTGCATTTAAGAGAAACTAGATTTCTTAAAATGTGTTTTTTCCTTATTTAAGTAAATTAAGTTCAAAAATATTTTCTTAAGCCTGGAGAGGACTCATGGCACATGGGCAGAATTGCAGTAGCGTGGATAGAGAGGAAAGTTAAGCATGCTTAAGTAGAAGGAACTGTGAGAGCAAAGGAAAGAGGGGGGAGAAGTAGGGGTACATTCAAAGATCTACTTGGCTGATAGAGACCAAGAATTTTTGGTCAATAGCCTGTCTCCTGAATTCTAGAGGACTGTTCTCCTCAAGCAGAAGTTTGTGTCTCACATAATTGGGCGAGGGTACTTCTTTACTCAAAACATACCAAACTTGATGACAATTCTTTTTTCAGTATTGCACATTGATTAAATTGTTAGCCACAAATGTTATACTTGTTCTTTATATGAATGATTATATTTGTTTCAAAAAGCATTCTTCTAAAAGGAAATTACTGAAATACCTTTAAAATCACATTGTTTTAGAAACAGAATGTGCCCAAGGGAGCATTTGTTCAGCACCTTCATTAAGAGGGTGTTCATGTGTACACATGCAAACACACATACACGTGCACATTTGCACACATTTATACAGAAACAATTAAGTATTTTTTCACATTTCCCCCAGGCTGCATAATTTTCAAAGGAGAATGATCATCATATAAAGGAACATATGAGAACAAATGAAGTCATGACTGCTGCCTTCCATTCAGCAGAGGGCGGTAACTTTCCACCTAGTACCCTGCAGCTGACAGGGGTCAACACAGACGTAGCTGAATTGACAGTCTATGGCATCTGTGTTCTTGTCCTCCAGGCAGAGTTGGGGAATTTATGCATCAAGATATATACATTTTCTGGGGCGGCTGTAAAAGGTCTTTTTATTTTTGTTTCTTGCTTTAATCCAAATTATTCTTACAGAAAGTTTTAGATCAGTATGCCAGTATCAGCAATAGTTCTCAATCTGAAGGTGGGACATATAAAAGGTGGCAGATTTTATTTTATTTTTTTTTCCTTTGATCTTATCTTTTTTTTTTTTAATAATAAATTTTATTTTTATATTCCCCATACAATTGCAACCCCCCATTCTGACCCCAATCCCTTCCCTCCCGCCCCCACCCCCCAAAAGTGTCTCTGGTTCATAGTTTTTTGTTGATTTTGATTTTCACTCTCTTATAGTTATTCATTTTCCTGGTCCCTTATTTAAGTTTTCTAGATTCCTGCTATGAGTGAGACCATCCGGTATTTTTCTTTTTCTTTTTGGCTAAGGGTGGCAGATTTTAAATCACTGAGTTCATTTTTTTTTTTAAGCATCACACTTTACTTCTTTTTTTTTTTTTTTTTTGATGTTGGGACTAAGGAATCAAACACTCCTTTTAGACTTAGATTAACCTGAGAGCACACCAAAAATTTCCAAATATTCATGCGTCCTTTGGTGAAGCTCTTTCTGGAATCACCTGTAATTCATACGAAAGCATCTTATTGGAGATATTTTTATTAAATTTAATAAATAGAAATGATTTGAACACTAAAAGAAATCTTTGTTATTCACACAGGTGCAGTTTCAACTTTCCACTGTTAGGGCATTCATGGCTAGAAGCCATTTTCAGAGGTTAGATACAAAATTAGCCAAATTTTGAAAACAACTTGTTACCTCATTCAGGTTTGTGTGATTAGTAAACACACAAAACCTTAACCAGAGGCCCCGAAGAGCCAGAAATACACAGCAAATAGAAAATAAAAAAAATCAGTGTCTCCTTTATTGGAATAAATGTTTATTTAAACTGAAAAGGGATGCTGTCAGTGCAATTTGGGGCCAACAAATCAAAATTTTCAAAGTCAGCTTGCTGTGATTTTCTTACTCAATACAAGCATAGTTTCATCTGACCTGAAGTAGATGTTTTTTTAGATACAGATTTTTTTTTCTTAATGAGACTTTGATACAAAATGTTACTTCTGAAGTTCTTGTGTGTTAATATTTATTTCAGTTTGGCACCTTGCTCTTTGAACTTTTGTCCTTCAAAATTACCATTAAATTTAAGGAGAAAACTAAGAAACAAAAAAAAAAAAACCCTTTTACTGAGGACATCCTTCAATTCACTCACTCTCTAAGTCTATAAACATTAATGTGCTGCCTCAATGCTAGATTCAAGTATGGATTCACAGTTGCCTTTCATAAACCCACTCATTCTGAGATGACCAGAATGGTTAAATGGTTTGCTCATAGTTGCCCAGCTCATTAAGAGCAGAGCTGTGGAATGACGCCAGCCTTCTTGACCCCTTGGGTTTCCTTGACAATTTTCTTCTGGTTCTAAGGAAAAGTTTCTCAACTGCTGTACTATTTACATTTTGAACTGAATAAATCTTTGCTATGGAGACTGTCCTCTGCATTGGAAGATGTCTGGGCATTCCTGACCTCTACCCACTGAATACCACAAGCACGCCTTCCAATCTCTGCAGCTGTGACCCTGGAATATGTCTCTACACACCACAAGACATCCCCTAGGGGCTGAAATTGCACCTAATTGAGAACCACTACTGGAGAAAAGATTTGCACTTTCAGAATCCCTCACCACCAGAATCTTCCCACCCAATGGGGGTATCTTGCTTGGGGAGATTTGTCACTTTGTTTCCAGTCTGTCTCATTGTCGCCCTTTTATCCTTTGTTGTGAGATCCCAATTTGTCAGATTTTAGGTCTCCTTCATTGTGAATCATTCTGTGTGCATTTGGAGATTTGTTGTGTCTATGTGAGGCAGTGAGTTCTGGTCCCT